CTTTTTCACCAGTAGAAACAGACAGTTGTTGATCACGTGACTCCTGTGATGCGAAAAAAGTGTTTCCATTGTAGTTTTGCGAAAAACACCAATTTTGATACGACCGAAAAACCACCTCATCCTAGCGCAAAAACGTTTAGTCAAAAAACGTAACTTTTTTTGAAATTAACGTGTTTCCATTGAGCAAATTTATTTTCAAAATTCTAATTTGCGCATTTTCATGGTCAATGGAAATGCAGCTACAGACTGTGTTATTTATTTACAATCTAAATGTAATATTAAGTGAGAAAGTAGTCCCTCTTACAGGGTGCTTGTCAGGGTTGCAGGAAAAAGAGATGGCCGTGGATCTGTTGTAAATTCGATGACAGGTTTCTCCCGCGGTGTAGTTCAGGATGATCTGATCCCCGACAAAGTTCAGAATCTGGTTGGTCAGTCCTGCGAGCACAACCAGACAGGCAGGAGGCRTTTATGAGAACAATCACATACATTAAAAGTCCTTTTTCTGTGTTCTAGTCTCATACCAGCGATCTTGTGTTTTGGTCCGTCTGTCTGGCAGGACGACACAGATTTGGAGTCTTTGTGGGAGCAGACGTCTCCCAGCAGAGCGCTGCACACCGACAGGTGGTAGGTGTATTTGTCACTCGTAACAGAGTAATCTTTGCTCTTCAAGGAGCTGAAGTCAAACTCGTAGCCAGTTTTAGGGTCACGAACACGACAGTCGTCACCTGGGAGGAACAATGAGGACGATATTTTTTAAAATTCACCTCATTTTTGCAGAATATTTTGCTATCTCATCAAAGTTAACACTGTTACCCTGAGACTTCCTGACAGGACAGGCCTCAGACGTCCTCCAGACAAAGACGTACTCGCAGCCATCTTGGCGATCGAACATGGGAGAGCCCTGAAAGTACAGAGTCACGGACAAAAAACATGAAGGACAAATTGGCTGCAAAAACAGCAACAAATCTGATAAACGGATAAAAAAAAGCTGGTTTGGAAACTCACGGGGTTGTCGTCACACTGGATGATGATGCGTGTCGAGTAGTGAGATGAAGAGCCACACTTGTCTCCGTTGTGATAAACGATGCTGATGGAGCCGTCGTCCGCCACCTGCGGGCTCGACTGGATGTATCCCAGGTTGTAGCTTTTTTTATCGATCACAGCACAAGCACCTAAAGGACCCACTGTGGACGAGGTCAGAATATACAGTAGGTTGGACACAATTACACACACACACACACACACAAAAGATTTGTTTTGTTGTATTATTAGTCTGAAATATTGCTGATTTTTATTAAATGTACTGTTATTTTAGTAAATCAAACATAACTTTGACAAAGATGTTGAATAAACTACTTTATTTCCTGTTGGTTTTATTTGTTTCTTTCATTTGTTTAATTTAAAAGAAGACGGAAAAACAAAAAAGTTAAAAGATAATTTGTATTTTGTTTTGACAACTAAAGGCTGTAAATCAGACAATCTGCTTTATATACTGATTACCGTATTTTTCGGACTATAAGCCGCACCCCCAACATAAAAAAAACAGTACACCCAAATTTGCCGTCAAAAAAGTGAATTCAACATCAAAACATAA